TCTCTCTCACCTCTGGATTCCAAAGCAATTAACAAAACAAGTCTGAGGACAGTGTTTCAGGGATCTGAAGCAGGAAGGCTGAGGAAGCCCTTCAAATGCCAATACCTCAGATACAGGCTCCTGCCTTATTGGATCACAGGACAGACACAGCTCACATCTCCCACAGCCTCTTCACCCTCAAGAGCACAGAAAAAGCTCTAATGCATCCCAATCACCTCCACCTCCTAGCAGAGATAATCCCATACTCCCTTCCTATATGTGAAAGAGATTGTGATTTATTTGCGCTATAGAATGGCTATCAGTTTTAATGCTATTTAATACTGTCCCCAGGAGACAAACTGAAGTGCATACTAACCAGTGCTCAACTATACTCTTCTGCAGTGCCAGATACAGCCCTTTAAAGAAGTACCTGTAGTACAACGTCTAGGATCTTATGTTTAGACATTTTGGGGAGCAGCAGCAGGGGAGATGCAAGTGACAAAGAGATTGCAACAAGTCAGGCTTGGTGAGCATACTTTGTTATGGATCACTGAAAGCTCTCTGATCACTTGGATACTGTCTAGGGCAGGTATTCTCCACCTTTTTCTTTCTCGGGCTCCCCAACATGCTGTAAGAATTCCACTGTACACTTGTGCCACAACAATGGCTGTTCTGCATTTAAAAGCTAAGGTCAATGTTAGGGGGTAGCAAAGCTGTCTGGGGCCTCATGCCACAGAGGCCCCGGTGAAGCTCAATTGTTCAGGCTTTATCTTCAGACTCAGGGCCTTAGACTTCCGGCCCCATGAATAGCGCTTCGGCTCTGTGCCCTGGGCCCCAGAAAATCTAATGCTAGGCTTCCTTGGAAGACCCCCTAAAACCTGCTCATGGCCCTCAAGATGACCCGGACCCTTGTTCAGAAACATTAGTCTAATGCATTCTTCAATATACACTGGCTTGCTGAATGCAGCACCAATCCGTGTGGGAACTCCATGTTTTATACACACCATAACTGAATAGTAGATACTTGAGGGCAGTGTTCCCTGTAAGCTGTGCGCTTGTATGGTTGCTAAGGAAAATTCAAATGCAACCCAGCTGATTAGCAGAGAGCCCACAGCTAGGTTTTTGGTTTCCAATGGTGGTGCACATTTGTACATGCCTCAATGCACATGAAATTTATTCTGCGTATGGATAGAAAAGATCTTCGAGAACATTGCTTGAAGGCTCTAACATCTGAGAGAAAGGCATAATAAGAACAAATGTGAAAAGTACTTTTTCTTTTTCTTTTTCTTTAAAAAAAAAAAAAAGAGGGGGATTAACCATTGTAACAAACTTCCCAGGGAACTGATTGATTCTCCATTTATTGATATCTTCAGAGAATGTCATTCTGCAAGATGTGCTTTCACCAAAAAAGTAACTGAGCTCAGTACAGGGTTAAAGGTTTGAAATTCTATATAAGACAGGATGAATTAAGTTAAACCAGATGATGCAAGATTTCTGACCGTAAATCTATGAATATCAGCTATGCAAGATCAATGTAGGACCCTTGAAATCCTTGTATTCAATCCCTTCTGGCTGGCGGAAGGGAGAAGGGGTATTTATCTTTTGTTCCCAGGAGTCCCTCAGCTACCCTGAGAATGGGAATTTTCAGCACACATCCCCAGCCTACTGTAATCAGACATGCCTGTTCTACACTATTCCTCTCAGCTTTCCTGCAGCTCAAGGAAGTTTTAGAGCAGGGGTGGCCAACCCATTAGAAACAAAGAGCCAAAATAGCGACGGACAGGTGCAAAGAGCCACATACAGGGGGGAGAGGGGGAAAGTTATCGAGGAAAAAAAAAATCAGCAGCCACATGGGGGGGGGGGGGAGAAATAGGTGCCGGTACACCATCCCAGAGAGGGGGCTCCAGGCTGGAGAGTGTTCAAGTCAGGGTGCTGATGGGGGCAGAGGACATGGTGCTGGTTGGGGGGGGTCTGGCCAGGGCAAGGGGACAGGGACAGCTTGGCCGGTACCTAGGGATCTGGGTTTCAGGAAGCGCTCAGGATGCTCTTCCCCTCCCATTCCCATAAACAGCTGGAAAGCTTCCTGAAATACTGGGTCTGTCGCTCGGCCAGGGACTTCCTTCCTCCTGCTTGGTTGGGGGTGTGTGTGTATGTATCTATCTCCCAGGACTGCATGCCTGCTCCAATTTCTCAGGAAGTGTGTGCTCTTCCTCTGCTCCCCACGACAGCCGCGTGCTTCCTGAGAAGTTGGAGCAGGCATGCAGTACCGGGATTCCTAGACCCTCCCCCCACCCTCACCCCATCCCCATTCCCTTCCCTTCCCTCCCCTTCCCCAGAGCCAGGAATCCCCCTGCTCTCACCCAATTCCCCTCCCTTTCCCCAGAACCAGGCCTTCCCCCCCGCTCTAACCCAATCCCTCCCCCCCAACCTTATGCCCGGGTCCCAGAGCCAGAGCCGCTGCAGCCGCTGTTGCTACCGCTATGCACCTTCTTCTACAGGCGCTGAGCGCGTGCGCTGAGCGGCTGGCTTTAAGCATGTGCTCGCTGGGATACCATGCGCAACCCCGGTCCCCCTCCCCTTCTCCAGAGCCAGGCATCTCCTCCCCTTCCCCACTCTAACCCAATTCTCCTCCCCCCTCTAACCTTATGCCTAGGTCCCAGTGCCGGAGCCACAGCCGCACCTGAAGCTGGAGCCAGAGCCGCCGCCTGAGCTCAGCAGCCAGCTGCTAGCACATGCAGGCTGGGATGCTGAGTGCGACCCAGCCTGCACGTGCAGGATATGATGCAGTGTGCTGGGGGCTGTGAGCAGAACAGTGCAGGCCTTGAGCACACATGCAGCTCAGAGTGGCCCGGCCGTGAGAGCAGCTGACCTGAGGAGTTCCAGGTTCCATCCCGAGCTGCAATTTTTTTCTTCAGGAGTCGCATGAGGCTCGTGGGCCACGGGTTGGCCACTGATGTTTTAGAGGCTGTCTACCCCTGTTTTCATGCACTTCCAATAGGGATGTCAAATGTTAACTGGCAAAAAAAACCCTACCGTTACTGGTTAACAGGAGGCACAGATGGTCCAGATCAACTTTCTAGCCCAGTGTTTCTCAACCGTTTTTTATAAAGTACCCCTTTTTCAAACAAACACAAATTATAAGTACCCCCAGTACCTACAGTTTTCAGACACACAACATTTTTTTCCTACCATTGCAACACATTTGTTTAAACAACGTAATCATAGCTGGATGGGCAATGAAATTTTTGGGTGCAAAAAGTACAAAAATAAGAAAGCACCATAAAACTTAAAACAAAAATTAAATTTTCTCTAAATTTCAGTTGTGTTGACATGCCCCCCAGACTTCTGTACCACTGGTTAAGAAACACTGTTTTAGCCAATATAGGCAAGGGGCTGATCCAGCCCAGCCTGGTTGGAGCAGACCCCACCTGCCTCTTTTTAAGCAGTTAAACAGAACATTAAACCAGTTAACTGATTAAATGGGATTTTACATCTCTAACTTGCAAGCAAATGCACTCAGTTATCCCAGGCTACATCAGAATGAAACAATCCAATTTTTGTTAATTTCACCTCCTCCCACAGTGAACTGAGAAAACTAAAAACAGACTTTTCTGCAACTTGCAGAAACTGAGCTGCAGCTTGGCACTGGAGCTGTATGCCTGCAAGCTTACAAAGAGAGTGCTGCTTTAGTTATTTGTATAGTGGTAGTCCCATGACACTCAGCCCCTTTGTGCTAGGCATTACACAAACATACAAGAGCCAGCCCTTGCCACAAAAACAATTTGTATTCACATTTTGGATGGCTTTCTTCACAATCATAAGAGCAAGAAAACACCAGACCATTTGTTGTTGTTTTTTTCTGTACAGACTAACTCAGCTACCCCCTGTAGCTAATGAAAGTTTAGAATCTGTAAGAGACAGATGCGCTTGCCATGGGTGACCAGGAAGTTTTCCTGTTCAAATGGTATTCCCATCCTTGCTCTAAAAACAACAACATGCCTTGAAATGAACACAAAGGGCAAACATTTAATGTATTTTCAGGGAAAGTGAAAAAGCTGTCTTCAAGTCACCAGCACCTGGCGAAATACATCCTAGAATACTCCAGGAACTGACTGAGGAGATATCTGAGCCTTTAACAATGATCTGCATTCTGGTTATAAGTAGCACCAGAAGAATTACTTTTTGTGATCTACTCTTCGCTAATTAGAACTCAATTGAAGTAGTGCATTCGGTTATGACAGTAAAGACATGCAAATTAAGTTGTATTATTTCTAGGAAGGGCTTCCTTTTAATCGGTCCATAAGTATATTCAATACTTTTCATTTCTCACCCTGGATAGGCAACACCAGTAACTTAGTTCAAATGATGGTGGACTTCAAGGGCAGCAGCTCTGGGTCCTATGTAATTCACAGTCACAAATACAAAAGACCATAATCTTATTTAAGTAGTCAGTGAAGCAAAATCCAACTTCCTGCTAAGTGAAAAACTAGATTGCCATATCAATATTCACTGAAACCTCTATGGACACTTTCTTTGGGAATTTTGGCTGTCAGTGCTGATGATAATAGGAACTATAGGAAAAAAAAGTTATCATTGCTTATTACACTAACTCTACAACACTGAAAAGTTTCATTGAAGTTGTACAGTTTGCCCTCACTGTTCTTCTAGTGAAGACCAATCAACACACAGGAAATACATTTAAAAAAAACCTTTCTTCTAAAGACAACCATTGAGATAGCATATTTGGGTGTCAATCTAACTCTGCTAAGAGTGGCAGTTTTAAACATAACCTTGTTATTTATTATGGCATTTTTGCTTACTCTAGCATATTCAGATACTAGCTCTAAATCTAATATAGACTTAATGACAAATTCAAAGTCTTCACATAAAGACCTATGAAAATGGCAGAACATGTCACTATTTGTACAAAACATAATCAGGAAATAGAGAACAGTATTAGAATTTTTAAACTTCAAATATAGCAAAAATGACATTTAAAACACAGTAAGTAATATTTTTACCCATTTTCCATTTACAAGGTGGCACTATCTGCAGACCTCAGCGAGATCCAGTCATTCAACCTGAATGTGGCAAATTCCCAAAGTGTTCTCTCCCAGATAGCTCCTGAATCCTGTTTTTTCCTAGCTAAATATACTTTTGGTACAGCAGGCTCCCAGTAATTTCCTATTGACAATTCTGGGATCTAGCCGAATCTGGATATTTTCTTATTAACTGAGCTTTAAGATAGCAGCAATGCATCAGAGGAGCCATCAAGATCAACACACCCCCTCTTTAATGACTGCCAAAACCTGCAGGGCCAGAGCCAGGAGCAATGCAAAGCTCAAGACAAATCAGCTCCTCCTCTGTTCAGGTTTCCCCCCTTTCTACTAAGCCTCTCCTTTCTAGTGTCAGCACACTGTGTTCTCAGTTCTATCTGTAGATCAAACCAATGAATGCATTTCTTTTTAAAACAAAATTCTAAAGATACCTGGCAATTTGGTTTCCTTTTCCAGAAAAAGATGGCATGCAGCTCAAAAACATCCCAGAGAAACAATAGGAACTTACCACACAGAGAGACCCAGATTACTCAAAAAACTTTAGAATGGAAGATTTTTAAATATTTCCCTTTGAGGCTTTCCCGGTATAAATGAGTCTGTCTCAGGTGACAAAATTCAGCAAAAATGGAAAAATGAAGCTCAATTTAATCATTAGCACTAAGATGGACTACTGACACATTTCAGATGAAAAAAATTTTTTTACCACACCTTGTGGAATTGGCATGCAGTAAATCCAAGTGAAGCAAGTTCCACCAGTCAAGCGGACTAAAGACACATTGGTTTCATGTTTCTAGACCAATAAAGAGGCATTGTTTAAAAAAAAAAAAAGCTCTATGAAGGGGAATCCCCTTGCTGTGAACACATACAGCTCTTCTGATAACCATGTACATAGTGAAGAAAAAACAATACATGGAGATGGAGTATGAAACTCCACTTTCCCAAGAAGAGATGAGGCAATTCATTTACAGAATCACTTGGTGAAATAGTGGGAGAGAGATGTCTTGGTGAAGAGTGAGGCTGCCACTCCTAAATGCTTTGGAGGAACCAGTAGACAAAATACTGTTACATAGTAGCGATGTTAAAATGAATGTAATTGATTAACCATGTATTGGCTGAAAATTTCAGCAGTTACACACGGCAGCAGCCAGCTCCCAGTACACAATGGCTCCCACCTGCTACGCTGCTCCCAGGGAAATGGTTGCTGCCCCGATACAGAGGCAGCAGTGTGGGGTGGCAAGCAGCTCCCCATACGTACCAGCTCCTGCCTGCTGCTCCATATCAATGTGTAGCTGTCTGAGTAACCAATAAGCATGGGTTACCTGTTTAAATGGCTATACTCTTACAACCCTATTACATAGTAAGTTCTACTAAAAGGGAACAAGGGTTAATTAGAACAGAAAAAAGTTTAGTGATTTAATGTTGTTAGTAACTGGATTTTGAAAGGACCTCAATGCCACAAAACCCAAAGAGCCAACACTAAGCTTCAGGGGGCATTTATCTATGAGAAGAGAGATTGTCATTCCCCCAAAAAGACGGAAGGAAACAGAAAAGAATTATGTAAATTAGAAGTGTTAAAGAACTAAAGAGCCATCTTGTTTATCTTTCCTCTTTTCCTTGGACAGAAGTTATTCTCTATTGCTCCATCCTAAGGACAGGTTTAAATCCATGTCTGCTACCCTTTAACTAAATCAATTAAAGCAATTTAACTGAATTAGTGCAAATCTCTGTATGGACATTCTTATTTTGAAATAAAATGGCTACAGTTTTTTTTTAAGCTAGATCAAAATTAGCCATTTTTATTTTAAAATAAAGAGTGTCTACAGACTTGGACTGCAACTACTACATCTGTTAATACACTGAAATGAAGTCTGCATATAGCTCATCCCTAAGGGATCCAAGCAACAAGACTTATGCATCTAGTTCTTGGAAGACTTTAATAGCCCAATATTTTTCAGTGCCAGAAACTGTGTCTTGATCCTCTGCCTAAAGTACCCTTTGTTCAGCTTTATGCAATTACTCTTAGTTATACCCTTCTGGTTCAATTCTCTGATTCCCTAGTATTACTCTATCATATTGGGACACTAGCAAGACAAAATATGTCAAAAAGATTCTGGTGACAGAAACCACATCCCACTATTGCATCATAATTCAGAACCTTTACTGTAAGGCAGTGGTTTTCAACCTGTTTCTGCAGGTACCTGGGAGTCCACAGACTATGTGATGAGTTAGTTCACAGAGATCTCATTGAGACAGTTACCCACTGGGCTGATCATACCACTGAGCCTTCCTACCTGCCCTCCCAGGTGCCTCACCACTTGGCCCTGCAGAGCCAGATGTTCTGGTCTCCCCCAGCAAAAACAGAGAGTTGGGGAAACAGCAGAGTGACACAAACATTGTGATAACAGTTCAGCTCCGGGAGAGCTCAGTTACAGGGACTTGTCATCACCCAGGAGCACAGCCCCAAATAAGACCAAACCCCCGAATAAATCCATCTCATTTTGTGTAAAACAGTGGTCCTTAACCTGGGGGCAATTACCCCTCAAGGGGTAATTTGGCATATTTCAGGGGGTAATAAGTTTAAAATACAATAGGTGTTCAATTTTGTTCAACATAATGGATGAGAAAACAAAATACAATAAAAATGATTAACTGTAATTTTCTTTTTGTCTATTGCCATTTAAAAAAGGAGGAAGGGTACTTCTGGATTATTGGTTAAGATTAAGGGGTAACTGCCACAGAGGTTAAGAACCACTTGTGTAAAAGATTTACACAGAGCAAGCTCATGAAGTTTGCTCTCATTATCAATGAGAGATATGCACAGCTATAGTTTCTCCCCATAACAATTATTTACACTGGGTTTGATAAACAAAAATATTTTAAGTATAAAAAGTAGGATTTAAGTGACTGCAATAAAAACCAGACAGATCCAAGTTACTAAGTAAAAATTTTTAAAAATGCCTCAAACACTAAGATAAGCTGTTACAAATCATATTTCTCACCCCAGTTCTTATTGCCAATGCAGTTCTTCCCAAATCAGAGCTTTTTTTTTTTTCCCTGACCTGGGCCCAGCAGTGCTCCTCCAACCATTCTCAATATAGGTTCTCTTGTCCCCCTCCCCCCAAAAAATGTTCTTGTTAGAGATGTAAAATCCCTTTCATCAGTTAACTGGTTAAACATTAAGTTAACTGGTTAAACATTAGGTTAACAAAGCAAGATGCTAGGTGGGAAACCGCTCCAGTCTGGCTGGGACAGCCCCCAATGCTGGGGCTGCCACCCGCAAGAGGGGGGGCCATTCCCAGTAGCCAGTTATCCATTCACATATCTAGTTCTTGTGTATCCTCACAGGGTGGGGAGGCAGTTTCAAAAGCCATCTGAAGACAATCATTGTTTTCTTACCCTCCCTTAAATAGAATTTCCTGGGGCAGGAATCCTTGGTTTAATTCTCTCCCCCCCCGCCGCCCCCGAAAGAGTACAAAATTCAAGATGGATTCCAGCACTAGGTGGCATGGTCACATGTTAAGTTCCCTAGGGTGAGCACCTTCACAGGCACACACAATTTTAGTCCCATCCACCTCCTTAGCAGAGCCATGCAGCAGCATGCCTGCAGCCCTGCACTTGCTGGCCTACAGGTGGAAGATAAGCTGGTGGTGGGAGAGGGGGGCTTGGTGTGGATGTGGGGGCTGTCCCCAATTCCCCAGAGCTGGAGCTGGGGCCAGGGCCATGTGGTGGCTGCCTGGCTGCTCCCAGGGCAGGGCTGCGGGGCTTCCCTGTGTGCCAGAGCTGGGGCTGCAGTGCAACTCCTCCTGAGGCTAGGACCCCCTGCATCTCTGTTCTCCCTCCCCCCCCCTTGCACACACCTCTTCCTCCCCCCTCACTGCCCTCTGGCCCTCAGAGCCCCTGCTGGTTTCCCCCTGGCTCTCCACATGTTGCTGTCCCATCCGCATATTCCCAGCAAACCCTGGGGCAGATAGCAGCTTCCAACTGCTTCAGTTAGGGACTAGCAGTCAGCCCTGCAGGGAGCAGCCTGGGAACTGCCTGCCCCACACACAGTCTACCCAGGAAGCAGCACTCGGGGGGTGGGGAGAAGGGAGGAGAAAAGAGAATTGGAAGGTCTCACTTTCTCCCTATGGGGGGGGGGGGGGAAGACAGCCTGGAAGCCGAGCCTGGGATCACAGCAAGGGGGAGGCATGAGCTGGGGTCTCTGTACTGGGAGTCTCTCTCAGGGAGCAGCAGCAATGTCCCCCTCACTAGGAGCCTTCCCCACACGGTGGCACACCTGAACCAGCGCACCTGACCTCAATATTGGTGCACAAGACAAAACTTACTCCACTCATGGATGGAAAATCTTAAGCAGGAACACTGGTCACGTGTCTTTGTAGGCCAAATAGAGTTTGGACTTACAGGAAAAACAAAACTATTTACAGCACATTGTCTTGAGCACTGCATTAAGTTTGTTAAGCACCACTAATGGCTTTCATTAGACCTAGATTAATAAGCAGGTTTACACTTCATATTTCTAACTTCACATATAAGAATGATATATGTGCATGAACAGAATATGCCACATTATGCATGAAGCATATTCAAGTTATGCATCTTCATATCCAAAAGCTTATTTCCATAAAAATAATGGGGCACAGCATCACAGACTACGTTTAAGGAGTCCACAAAAGGCTGTTGTTACTGTAGAACAGTGGTTTTCAACCTGCGGTCCACAGCCTATGCCTAAGATTTCCAAAAGGGTCTACACCATCATCTGAAATTGTTTCGGAGTTCATTAATGAAAAAAGGCTGAAAACCACTGCAATGAATCCCAGATCTGATGGCCTGGTTCTCTGAGAACTGTAGAGAACTGTGCAGGAGCTACTTAAGTTATGTTTAAACCTAGCCATGACTGGGAGGTTAAAGCATTGAGGCTATGTGCATACTAGCAAGTATATAGTGGTACAGAAAGATGCAGCTGTGCCACTGTAAAATCTCTGGTATTGCAACTTTATGCTGACAGGAGAGTGCTCTCCTGTTAAGGTAATTAAGCCACCTCCAACAAGTGGCATTTTCACACTGACATAGTGCTGCGCACACTCTACCACTTATACTGGAATAATTTACATTGCTCGGAGAGGAAGGGGGGGAATATTCACACCCGTGGGAGACATAAGTTTTCCTGACACCAGTGGTGGTGGTGATGTAGCCTGAAATTCTCCAGGTGTGTATTGGAGAAGAATTCGTCAGATCT